TTCCTTCAAGCGTTCGTAAAAATTCCCATTCAAACTCTTATAGTTCCGCCATGACTGTTAATGCGCAAGATGATCATCTCACAGCTGGAGCTTGGGCCGCCTGTGTATGAACCAACTGTAACTGACAACGTGGGCAGTTAAACAAAACTCGTGTAACAACCACCTTGCATACTGTAAGTTTTGAAAGTTGAAACTGGAATGGCATGTTTTCAAGGTAAAACGAATTGTAAACCAGTATGGTCATGACATATAATAACGCAATCTTTTTAATCAAGGCATGTCATTTGTTGTAAACCAATACTTGTAACATGTACTGACTTGGGTGAAAGATGGAATGCAGTCAGTACAACTGAGAACATATATTTCCGATAACCTGAGAACACTACTCTTCATTTTTTTATAAAATCACCTCTGGGTGTTTTTGAGATTAAAAAATAAGAAAAATGGATTTGGGAGGTTAGATTTTGGTGAAAGGATTTTTGATGGTTTTCGTTTTCGTCCTTAAGTGAAAAATTATCACAACTAATTTGATTCTAAGTATTCCTCCTTATAGCGCTAAGGATTTGAGCGCTAGAAACCCTAGTTTCGCATTGAAGGTCCCTTCAAAGCAGCACGTCGTCGAATGGGCTGTAAAATAAAAAAATTAATAAATAAAAAGTGCGCAAAAAGAATTTCAGAAGTAGTTACCTGATCAGAAAGATCGGAAGCGTGAGTGGGATATTCCAGTTCACCAGAAGTTGTTTCCTGCAAAAGAGTCTTTGGATTTGAGTCATCAAACGGAAAACTTCCACATAACAAGGTGTACAAAACAACCCCAAGACTCCACACGTCACTGGCCATGCCATCGTAAGGAATACCTGACAAAAGACAACACTACTCACTGAAAAGAAAACTGCATGAAAGTTATCAACGACATCTCTAAAGGAAAATTAACTGTTCCTTTTTTACACATGATCATCAAGCCACAATTGAGAATACTAGTCATCGAGCCAGTGCAAAAAGCACTTTATTTGAGCAAGAAAAACTAATTAAAAATTGGTGTAAGGAGGTATAGCAAAACAAATCATCATTAGCAACCATTAAAACTGCCGAAAGAGCAGGAAACGCAGGCGGCCAAGTCATGATTGGGTTTAGTTTTGCATCAGATTGATTGAAAGAGTGGCACGAGTTTTCTGGACCAATCACAGAGCTAGTAAAGCAAAACCAATGCCATCCCGCATTACTTTTGACACTCCATAAATGGGCAGCGAGGTGACCAGCTTTCTTAGCTCTTTATGAAGGATTTACAGAAGACTGATATTTATCCATAGAATTACCTTGCAGAATCTCTGGAGCAACGTATGCATATGAGCCACAGAACGTTCTACTTCGAGTTCTTTGATCCGAAGCTGCTCCAATGTAACGAGCGAAGCCAAAATCGGTAACAATCGGTTCGTTTTCCTCAGAAAGAAGAATGTTTTCAAGCTTGAGGTCTCTGTGGGTAACTCCTGAAAGCATAAAAGGTATTACCTCACTCCGAATGAGGTTTGCCGTATGAGCAAGAAAATTTTTCCAGGTTTCAATTTTTGCCATGAATTTTGTGGATAGTTCTTGATCTACAAAGAAATTATACCGGAGAGGAAAAACTCGAAAATTCCTGCTTTATGTTCTACTACTATAACAGAAAATCGCAGATTTAAGTTCCCGAAATAAATTCTAATTCATCCCGGCCGAAACGCAAAAAATGTTCCACGCAAAACTTAGAAAAATTGCGCATACGCAACATAAAACTCCTTAGAAATGTCTAACACGGCAATACAGGAGTAAAAGGAGTTCAAGTCGAAATGACAACAAAATTTGCCCAAAATGAGTCAACAGGAAGCTCGAGTTAACAAGGATCTACTGTACACGGGAAAACACGAATAGTCAACTTTTTTGCCCGTCTTTACACTCACCCTTTTTATGGCAGTATAGAACACCATCCACTATTGATTTAAACATAGCTTTTGCCTCGTTCTCTGTTAGTTTGTAGCGTTTGAGTAAGAGAGACAGAAGATCACCCTTAGGAGCCATTTCCATCACAATAAAGAATTTATTCTCTCCGTCAATCACGTCAAATACTCGGATCACGTTCTTGTGGTTCAGCCATTTAAGAATCTCTATTTCTCTCTTCAAGAATCTGCTCTTTTTCCCATCATCATCCTTTAAAAAATCGGGGAAAAGTGAAAAAATTTATAAAGACTAGAGTAGCAGTTCTTTGAGGTTAGGGGAAAGCCGTATCGATCGGCCTTTCCCTTATATCACAGATTTTATGATAAACAGAAATATTCACCTAAAAAGGGATTTGATCTTCGTAGCTTTTTCCTGGACCTCAGTTAATGATAATTTAATGATTTTCCCACGACCTCATCTAAACCTTCATCGACCCTATCCAAATTTTACTCAACACATCAACAGTTTCTTTCCATTATCTTTTAAATACTGGAAGAAGCTACCTGCAAAATCATGAATATTGAATGAAGTGCCACTTTAACGCTGCCGGTCGTAACTTCCCCATCAAAGAAAATTGTTTCAATTTGTAACTTTTTGGCTCTTATTAATCAGATAGCCTATTGTCCATGTTTTTCATAAAAATTTTTTTTTTTTAAAGATAGTCATTAAGATTAATCTATCAATTTCAAACTGTATCATCTATCACTGGACCAAAAAAGGTCTTACAGCAGAAAGTGGTGCAACATCTTTCACTTGATTCATATATATTAAGCAAGTCATTGGTTATTTAAACTTTTTGGACAAATTTTGAACATGGTTTTCACACCTACACAATGTTAAAATGTTTTTGAAAAGTTTTTCAGCCGAGTTAGACTATCTTTCATGCATCTGTTCGGATGGATTAGCACTAAGGTTATTGAAATGCTGTTCACTCTAATTTTAAGTACAGCAGCTATTTTTACCTCTTCCTTGTGGACAATTTTGATTGCAACTTCCCTTTCACTTTTTATGGAGTAAGCTTTCCTAACGTCTGCGTATGACCCTTGGCCTATAACCCGGTCAAGTTCGTAACCGTAACCCCGTAGAAAAGCATTTTCATCCAAGTTGTTCTGACTGCTAACTTCTTCTTTGCTTCTGAAACAATTCCCAAATGCTTCTAATAAAGGTATTAATTTAGTGATGACATAAATGAAAGGAAGCACACTAAAACCAATCAGAACTGAGAGGAACGCAAACCCAAACATGTCCAGAACTTTTGGGCCGCGCGCAAGAGCGCATTCTGTGCAAAATACGTCAAGTACGTCACAAAGCAGCCCAGCGCGCCCGACAATGTCCAAATTACCGGATTTATGATTCGAAAAATTATTAATTGAAATAAATAATTGTAATTGAACTGAGTGGAGTGCAATTTGGTCTGCAGTACGCGTGATCTCAAAATTGAACGAGCGCGCAGCGCGAGTTTTATTTGAAATCGCATGTATGGTTTCAGATCAAAATTGCACGACTCGTGGTTCTATGACCATGCACTTTATTTCATCCCTTTTAAATTCGTAGACATACAATTGCTCGAATACAGGATTTTTATTCTGTACGAATACTTTATTGATTCAGTATTGCGCTGGTTTGCAAAAAGCTGCAAAAGTTGTCTCTCATTTTCCTGATTGGTTACTTGCCTGCATACAAGCAGGCCACACCCGAGACTGCTTATGTTATTCACATACGTACCGTTGACGGGAGGTATGTTATGTATGGGGAATTTTTATGTCCCCAATGCATATTATGTCCTATACTTTACATACATATAATGTCCTATACTTTACATGTAATATCGTACACACACATTCAACCATACACAGCTACACTGGGCAATATCAGTTATACAGGGCTATAAACAACTATACAGCGCTATACACAGCTAAACAGAGCTATACACAGCTATACAGGGCCATATAAGGCTATACACAGCTATAAAGAGCTATACAAAGCTGTACACAACAATACAGAGCTATACACAGCTATACAGAGATATACACAGCTAAACACGGCTATACAGGCTATACACAGCTATACAGAGCTATACGCAGCTATGCAGAGCAATACACAGCTATACACAGCTATACAGAGCTATACGCAGCTATGCAGAGCAATACACAGCTATACAGGGCTATACACAGCTATAAAGAGCTAAACACAGCTATACAAGGCTATACACAACTATACAGAGCTATACTTGGCTATACACGGCTGTACAGGGCTATACACAGCTATAAAGGGCTTTACACAGCAATACAGAGTTATACACAGCTAAACAGAGCTATACACACCTACATAGGGCTATAGACAGCTATATAGGGCTATATAAAGCTAAACAGAACTATACGCAGCTAAGCAGAGCTAAACACGTCTATACAGGACTATACAAAGCTATACAGGGCTATAAACAGCTATACACAGCTTAACAGAGCTATGCACACCTATACAGGGCTATACACAGCTATGCAAGATATACACAGCTATACACGGCTATACAGGGTTGTACACAGCTAAACAGAACTTTACACAGCTATACAGAGATATCCACAGCTATACAGGGCAATACGCAGCTATTCAAGGCGATACACAGCTATACAGGGTTATACCCAGCTATACACGGCTGTACAGGGCTATACACAGCTATACAAGGTCATACACAGCAATACAGGGCTATAACATAAACAGAGCTATACATACTTATAAAGGGCTATAAATAGCTATACAGGGCTACACAAAGCTAAACAGAGCTATACTCCGCTAAACAGAGCTATACACACCTATACAGAGCTATACACAGCTATACAGAGATATACGCAGCTATACACGACTATATAGGGCTATACATAGCTACACAGAGCTATACAAGGCTATACACACCTACACAGGGCTATATATAAATATACAAGGATATACAAAGCTTTTGAGAGCTATACTTAGCTATAGACGCTGGACAAGGCTATACACAGCTATACAGGGCTATACACAGCTATACAGGGCTATACACAGCTATACAGGGCTATTATGGCTATAAAGGGCTATACAGGGCTATATACTGCTATACAGAGCTATATACTACTATACAGGGCTATACACAGTTTAACAGAGCTATACAGAGCTATACTCAGTTATACAGAGATGTGTAAAAATGGTTGTAAGAAATATTGACTTCCGGTTGCAATTCTATTCAACGTTTGTGATCGAAATCGTTTTTTCAATATTGCTGTAATGATTCAATTTGCATTAGATTTATTTGTTCCTGAGAGGCGAAGGATTAGGCACATCAAAAATAAAATTAAGGGCGTGCGCAACTATGTCTTCGCCACACCCGAGACTGCTTACTTCGAATATAAGAGATCCTCGCAGCTAAGAACACTACTGAACTAGTAGTTGAAATAAGACCCGAAAAACAATTTTCGGGCCCATACGGGATTTGAACCCATGACCTCTGTGATACATGTCTAGCGGTTATCGACCAAAATTGTTCAAATTACTGATAAAAGCATGAAGCTTTGCCACAGCACTTATGACCCTAAGACTAACATTTTCTGATACAGGGCCAATCCAAGTTAACCTCTGGTGACGAAAACCACGCATGTCAGAAATTCGCTAACATGGAAACGAGGCTAAGAATAAAAAATCCTTTTTAACAACATTGCTTGGGGGAATTATTTGCGACAAAAGCCTTCAAACATAACAATCGAGTCATTTTCTGTCCATTCGTATTCATCATATGCTATTACGTGACTATCCTCTATGATATTCATCATAATGTTTGGGTTCCCTGTGGTTAAACGTTAAAGATACCTGTTTACGTTATTTTTTAATTACGATTGATAAAACTTGTTTACTTTAGAAACATAAAGCTTATGTCTTTGGTTGATTTGACATTCTCTTCTGCTATTTTAATAAAATTAACCAGCTATTATAAATAAGCTTTGGTTAACAGGCTTGGATTACCTGTGGTAAATTGTTCAGCTACACTTCTCTGAACGGCGCTGTAGGTGAAATCCTACAATGTTCTCCTATCTAACCAAAATTCAACAAACGATTGATGTAATGCCTAATTCTTAGTCGATCT